ATGTCCATCTGAAAACATGACACACATGTCCATCTGAAAACATGACACACATGTCCATCTGAAAACATGACAAACGTGTCCATCTGATAACATGACACACGTGTCCATCTGTTAGCATGATACGTGTCCATCTGATAACATGACACACGTGTCCATCTGTTAGCATGATACGTGTCCATCAGTTAGCATGGCACACGTGTCCATTTTGACCTGATGAATAATGACCAGATGTATCGGTATCTGTTTAAACATAAAATACTTTGCTCAGATTGAAATATATTGGATTAAACAATCTGAATATAATGTTTCTATGGACACAAAATAAATTAATCTGATCATGACGAGTGTTTCTACGCACCAGGTTTATTCAGAACATAAGTGCTGACGTGCAGAGTTGTAAACTTCTTTTAAAAATCCACAGAAGCTGTTCTGATGAACATAAAGAAACGTTCTGAGTCTTCTGGACCTGCAGCAGGTTTTATCCTGGCTCAGACACTTTTCACCATCAAGGTGTCCGATCACTCTGAGCTCTAACAGAACTGTTGTGTCGCTAACCATTAGCATCTAGCTCGGTGGAAAAACGTCAGGTTGTCATCAGGACACGTGTAGTTTACGACACATTTTTATTCTGATTATTCATGTAAACATGGTTAGAGTTTGTGATGAGGATGACTCTCAGCTACTACCACATCAAGTTACAGCCCAATATCTGTAAAACACCTTTTGTGGCGGCCATCTTGAATTGACTCAAAAAAATCAGCAGTTCTCAGTTTCTAAAGGTTCATTAAATATTTGAACATAAAAAACTTTATTGTCCAGGTTTTAGCAGGAGTGAATAAAAGTCAAATTTGTGATGTTGTGTTTGTTACACAGGTGTAAAGTTTTTTTCTTTGTAAAATAAATTAACTTAATATTTTAGATTTATTTGATTAAAGTAAATTTATTTTGTCAAAGTTTGATCAAAGTTCAGTCATTTTTGAAGTTTTTCTTGTTTTTCTTTAGTTTTAGGCTCCTGGTTGTCTTCAGAATAAAACAGATTAAATAATCAGATTATGATGAACATTTTAATCTCCTTCACGCAGCTGTGTGCTGTGTTTTAATGCGAGGCGTGTGGTGAACGTATGCCGGTCTTACTGGTGTGAACGGTGACGTTCCTGGACTCCTCGTCAGTCTGTGATTGGACCCGCAGCTCGTAGGCGGAGCCAGGCTCCAGGTGCTCCAACAAGCAGGTGAAAACCTGCGTGCTGCTGCCGTTTCCTCCTCCGTCTCCGAGTCGCAGCCGCTCCGGCGGTACGTGGCTCCAGCTCGGCTCCTTGCAGTCCCCTGCAGCGTGCTCAGACACCGCYGAGAAGGAGCAGTTCTGTCCTGGAGTGCTGAGGGTCAGAGACACAGAGTCCAGACCCAAGAGCAGCTCYGACACGGAGATGCTGCAGGGAACAGGTCCTGCAGAGTCCTGAGCTGCAGCGCTCACATCCTGACAGGAAGAGTCAAACTAAAGGTCAAGTTCATTTAATATAAATCKGATTATTTCATCTAAAATCTGAAACGTGGAACCAAACGGACAGGCCATCAGGAGGAGCTGGATGTGGGAAAGTTCAGARGGAAACAACAAACTTTTACAGTCTGCAGGGAACAGGTGTCCCACAAACAGGACCAGGACCAGGACTTTGATGCTATTGTTCTGAAAAAACCCAAAGGTGCCGAGGTCCAAATTCCTCTCCTTAAAGAGGACGTCTGATATGATCAAGATAACGTTCAGAGAAGAACAATCAGCCTGAAAGCCTGTGTGGCTCAGAGGCACAACAGCAGAGGGTTGACTTCAGCTTCATTCATCAAAGGATCAAAATCTAAATACAAAAATAACAAGTTTGGAATCTTCAAAGAGAAAAAAGCCTCATCGTGATGCAGATTCTAAATGTTTAAAATGTTTTATTTATATTTTTAACTCTTTAAACTCCTGACTCAGTCGTTCCCAAACCTTTCAGCTTTTGACCCACAAAATAAAAGCATCAGACCTGAGTCCAAA